TCAGCAGACAGTTAAAATTAGGGTCTGGGGGCCAGACATGGTGGCTTACGCCTGTAATCCCAACACTTTGGGAGGCTGAGGTGGGCAGATCACAAGGTCAGGAGTTCAAGGCCAGCCTGACCAACATGATGAAACCCATCTCTACTAAAAATACAAAAATTAGCCAGGTGTGGTGGAAGGCACCTGTAATCCCTGCTACTCAGGAGGCTGAAGCAGGAGAATCGCTTGAACCTGGGAGGTGGAGGTTGCAATGAGCCACGATCATGCCACTGCACTCCAGCCTGAGTGACAGAGTGAGACTCCGTCTCAAAAAAAAAAAAAATTAGGGTCTGGGAAGGCCAGGCAAGGTGGCTCATGCCTGTAATCCTAGAACCTTGGGAGACCAAGACAGGTGGATCACTTGAGGTCAGAAGTTTGAGACCAGCCTAGCCAACATGGCAAAACCCCGTCTCTACCAAAAATGCAAAAATTAGCCAGGCATGGTGGTGCATACCCGTAATCCCAGCTACTTGGGAGGCAGAGGCAGCAAAATTGCTTGAACCCAGGAGGCAGAGGTTGCAGTGAGTGAAGATGGCACCACTGCACTCCAGCCTGGATGCCAGAGTGAGACTCTCTTTCAAAAAATATATATATAATTAAATTAAGATCTGAGAACTGAGAGATACAGAGACAGAAAGGTTACATGTGATAGTGTCCAATACAAAGCCTGGACCCCCTAAATCTCTGCTTTAGTCAGAGTATCTATAACTTCCCCAAAAGGCAGCTCTCTTCCAGTTCTGTCATCAAATAAACTTTCCTATAAGGCAGATACCCTGCAGTCACAGATGACTGGTTAACTCCTAGTCATCTTTAAGAATGCTCAGGTGGGCTGGGCGCAGTGGTTCAAGCCTGTAATCCCAGCACTTTGGGAGGCCGAGGCGGGTGGATCACGAGGTCAAGAGATTGAGACCATCCTGGTCAACATGGGGAAACCCCATCTCTAGTCTCTACTAAAAATACAAAAAATTAGCTGGGCATGGTGGCACATGCCTGTAATCCCAGCTCCTCAGGAGGCTGAGGCAGGAGAATTGCCTGAACCCAGGAGGCGGAGGTTGCGGTGAGCCGAGATGGCACCATTGCACTCCAGCCTGGGTAACAAGAGTGAAACTCCCATCTCAAAAAAAAAAAAAAAAAGAATGCTCAGGTGTCATTTCCCAAACCCCACTTATTTCCCACCAAGTAGATGGTACCTGTGCCTTACCGCTTTCTCCATACATATATGCCTGGTTTCTAACACCATGCCTAAAATAGCATGTACTTGAAAGACAAACTGAAGGAAAAGACCTTGGCATGTGCTCAACACGCCTTGGAAGGCACTGTATCCTCTTAGGTGATCGCTAAAGAAATGCACTTGGATGAGATTTCCAAAGGAGAGAAAAGAAAACTAAGTTGTCTTAAATGTAAGTGATCATCATGGAACACCTTCATCTAGAGAACAGTTCCCCAAAATGTTTTTCCACTTTTTTCATCACAAAATAACTCATCTGTAACACAGGAATCATTGCTCCTACCTCATAGGTCACTGGGAGGGTTAAAAGAGATAATATTTATAGAGCATATAGTATAATGTCTAGCACTCAATTAATGTTTCCTTCTTTCCCCTAATCCCACCTGAAAACATGTTAGAGCCTGATTCTTCCTTTGTAAGCACAACATGTTACAGCCTGATTCTTTCTTTGTACGCAACTGTTATACCCTGTAAGCAACCCAGCCTAGAAAAATAATGGATATTTGAGAAAGGCAGCCTAGCCTTGTCAGATGCTCCCTCTAGAACAGATTTCTCAACCTCAATACCACTGACATATTTGGCCAGATAATTCTTTCTTGTGGGGGTTGTCCTATGTAGGATGTTTAGCAGCATCCCTGAATTCCATCCACTAGGTGCCAATAGCTCTCCCAACCAAAAATATCTTTCTAGACCATGCCAAATGTCCCCTGGAGGGCAAAACTTCCCCTGGTTGAGAATTACTGTCCCAGAGCTGACCAGATTCTCACAAAGCCCTAATCCCCTAAATATTTTCCCTGACATCTACAAATATATCTTATTATTTGTTCCCACTGATTCTGCACATTAAATTATGCTTAGTCTTTATAATCCATTCTCCTTAAACAAAACTAGTAGCTATCCCTTAACCATCAAGCAAGTAATTATAAATTAATTCAGTGTAAATACTCAATGCATTCTCTATCACACTTTGAGTCTGAAAGCCAAACTAATATAATGAAAGCAATAGCAGTCAATCCCAAAATGACTCCCCCAAAAATTAGAGATTTGTCCCAGTATTCACATATCTAATCTTTTAATTTCATATCTACAGGTGGCACTAATTTCATATTGTATAAAGTGAATTTTGGTTGCCTAGGGAATGCTACAAGTTGCTTTTTTTTTTTTTTTTTTTTTTGAGACAGAGTCTCACTCTGCCACCCAGGCTGGCACCATCTTGGCTCACTGCAACCTCCGCCTTCCAGGTTCAAGAGACTCTCCCGCCTCAGCCTCCCGAGTAGCTAGAACTACAGGCATGTGCCACCACGGCCAGCTAACTTTTTTTATTTTTAGTAGAGACAGAATTTCACTGTATTAGCCAGGATGGTCTCAATGTCCTGACCACGTGATCCACCTTCCTCAGCCTCCCAAAGTTCTGGGAATACAGGCATGAGCCACCACGCCCGGCCAGCTTTTTTTGTTTTTTGTTTTTGAGGTAGGGTCACAGCAGCCTTGATCCTCCTGACTCAGCTTCCTGAGTAGGAGCTTCCTGATTGCAAGTGTACCACTACACCCCAGTTAACTTTTTGTTTTATAGACAGGGGTCTAGCTATGTTGTACAGGCTGGTATCAAACTCCTGGCCTCAAGTGATTCTCCCACCCCAGCCTCACAAAGCGCCAGGACTGCAGGTATAAGAAAGCATGCTCAGCTAGCTCTTATTTCTGTTCCTTTACTAATTGTTTCATTTGGGCTTCAGTATCTTCAATTGTAAAAGAGGCGTAATGCTTGCAGTCCTTTGATCACAGAACTGTCCAACAAGATAATAAATAGGTAAACACAGTGAAAATGAATGAGCATTATATGTAATTATTTTTATGAAGGAAAAATCTAAGGAAATCTAAGTGTTATATGTTTAGTAGGATGGTAGGGAAAAGTTGCATCTGTCTTCCAGTTTTATGAAGGAAGTGCCTTGTAAGGAAATACTCTAGGGCAGAATAGGGAAAGGACATGCTTTGAACTCAGTAGGTCTGATTCAAAAGCCCTTGCTCTTCATTCTGCATATAGTTTGAATATTAAAAAAAAAATAGAATATCCTGAGGGTTTTTACTTTAAAGTTTATGTTCTTGGTATAAGGCAGGCACAACAACCCTTTGAGGGTAGTAGGAATACATTAAAGGCACTGGCAGGGATTTGTTCACCCTCCATTCAAAGGAGCATGAACACACACACCACCAGGCCCCTAAGTGTCCTTTTCAATTGTGAATGATTCATTCTTTCAGAGGTGAAGAAGAGTGATACTGGAAGAAATGGGGTATGTCTTGTATAATCAGGAGTGTCCCAATAGTTTTAAATCAGTTTGATACGTCTATTTCAAGATGGAAAAAAATCGTTGCCTTTCAACAAACATTTCCAAATCATCAAAGACTGCCTGCTTCACTTTATACTTATTAGGAAGGGATATTTTAACAAATGAGTCTTTAAAAGGTGCAACATCAATCACATGTGAGGCAGGTGTCAGGGGCAGCACTGTCTCTGCTGCTGCCAAAAAGTGCAAATAAAAAAGAAAAATCAACCTTTCCTATCCATTCATCCAAATGCTGCCCCTGCAAAGCCTCAGAGGGGTCTGGATCCCTGGTAGAGGGTCCTCAAACGTGCGGGATTTCTGAATAGTGTACGAAAAGGAAGGTCACCGTGCCCTTCCGCAACACTTTCTGAAAAAAATTCTGTCTTTGCCCCAGAGTAGAGCAGTTGCCGGGCCTCCTCCTCGTCAACCCCCAGGGAAGAGAAGGTAGTCGTGTACAGACGCTGCTCCGGTCCGAACCTCCAGCGTCGCAACAGCCTAACCGGCGCTAGCTCGCAAGTGGCGCGGGGAGCCGGCTCGGCCCCCCTGCCTACCACTAGTGGCCAAGGACTACGGGAGCCGGAGCTGCACCAGACAGGCGACGACACGGCCAAACTGAGAGAACGTCAGGCAAGGGGTGGTGGCCATGCGGGCAGCTCCCCGAGCGGCAGGTCCTGCGTGCTGGCCCCAAGCTGGCAGCGAGACACCACCCAGCGCCGGGGCGCGCAACCCCACGTGGGCCCTGGCTTGCTTGCTGCAGGCGCCGTCACCCTCCTCCCCAAGTCGGGCAGCGCTCACCTCAGCGCTTGCGGCGCCTCTACCTTCAGCTTTTTGGGCTTCGGCTCCCCTTCAGCAGCTGCCATCTTCGCACTCCCACCTTAGTTTTGCTGTACCGCCCACCTCCGCAATCCACCCTTCGACCCGCCCCCTCTTCGCCTCACCACCTTCTCTTCTCCAAATCCCGCCCCTCCAGGATCCGCCCATTCTGTGCGACTTTCATCCACAACCATTGGCTCTATTTCTCGGCCCCGACAGCGAATGCCCCGCCCACTCCTGACCCCGCCTCCGCCACCGTAGGGGACCCCAGACTGAGTTAGGCCGCAGAAGAGCGCCTGAATCTAGATGGTGAGAAACCTGCTATTTTTCTAGACCCTGGATGATGTAGAAGATTTAGATGCTAAGCCTCAAGAGGCGTCTTTCCTCTCAGTTAAGGTCTTCCTGCATATTTAATCTTTCTAATATGGTAGACAGACTCGGTGTCTTTGAAGCTGTGAATCAGGCGATCACCTGGCCACTACAGCTGCGGGTCCTCGCGGCCTTCTCTGCTTCCTCAGCTTGGGTCTGTAGAGGACCCGGCGCCGAATCACTGACTGGCACTGGTGTCGGGGTGAGTGTGAGGGGCGGGAAATCCGTGGACTGGGGGTAGCTCTAAAACCCGGGAGTAGATTGAGTAGCTGGGGCCACCGAATCCGGTCTGCGCTCTAGGAGCGTCCCTGCTGGTGTGGGCCAGGGCCTCGTTTCCCCTCGACTCCCGGCCTTCCGGACTTTCTTGCCAGCAAGGCCGGAAGGGAGCGGTGCACCTGCAGCCCAGTGTTCTCAGGCCCCCAAGCCTCAGAGGTCAAGCTTACTGGGGCTGGAGTACAAACAGCAGGAATCTCAGTCCCAGGTTTCTGCTTTGGAGAACAAAACCCCAAACGGACCTGAGCAGACAGACGTCCTGTTGGCGGGCGGTGCCTGGAAGAGCCTGGGGTGAGGAATGCAGTGAAAAGGGTGTTGCAGTTCTTCAGGAGAGAGATAACGGGGTTCTAAGCTGAGCAGGTGGCAGTGAGTATGGAAAAGTGAGGGGCGATGTGGCTGTTTGAATTTGGTAGATTTGTTTGAACCTGAAGCTTACAGCCTTATGTGATTAAGAAGGTGTGGTGCCACTGACACGAGAAGGAATTTTATGGAGTTTGGGTTTTATCGAATTTGAAACAGTGATTAACATGGAGATTGTAGGAAGACTTTCTTTAAAAATTTTAAGCGTCAGAATTAAGCCCGAAAAGCTTTCAAGGTGAAAACCAAAACAAATGAAGTTTCATATAAAAGGGTAAGAAGTTCTTTGGTTTAAGAGAAAGCTATCAATGACATAAAATGCTGAAATGGTCAAAGGAGGAAGCTGAAATCAGAATCGTCGTTGGATTTTATTATTAGAAAGTCATTGAGCCATTTGAGAGAGATGCTTTAATAGTAACTGAGGAAAGATTGCAAGTATAGACTAATCCTTCATCATTTGGGGCATGAAGCAAGATTATTGAGAGTGGCAAGGGACGGGAAAGTTTGGGGTTTGTTTTAAAGAATACAAGATATATATTTGGGGGCAGGAAGCAAGCAACTATTTAAAGATTCAAGAAAAAGTCTCCTCTCCCAGAAGAGAAGGGAAGGAGTGGGATCAAGTTACAAGTGAAAGGATTAATTTGGGAAAGAAAGAGGTGCACTTTCAATTGACACTATAGGAAAAGTGGAGTGAATTATGTTAAAAAAGAGTTATCTAAAGAAATATCTTAAACTTAAGTATCTTGGCCAGGCACAGTGGCTCATGCCTGTAATCCCAGCACTTGGGAAAGCCAAGGCGAGCAAATCACAGGTCAGGAGTTTGAGACCAGCCTGGCCAACATAGTGAAACCCAGTCTCTACTAAAAATACAAAAATTAGTCGGGTGTGGTAGCATGCCCCTGTAGTCCCAGCTACTTGGGAGGCTGAGGCAGGAGAATCACTTGAACCCAGGAGGTGGAAGTTCCAGTGAGCTGAGACTGCACCTTTGCACTCTAGCCTGGGTAACAGAGCAAGACTCTGTCTCCAAAAAAAAAAAACAAAAATCTTACGTATCTTTAGGAAAGCTCTCTTTGCAATAAGGTTAGTTTTGCTTTGCTTTGCTTTTTTTTTTTTTTTTTTTTTTTTTTTTTTGAGACAGAGTTTTGTTCTTGTTGCCCAGGCTGGAGTGCAATGATGCAATCTCAGCTCAGCACAACCTCCACCTCCTGCGTTCAAGCGATTCTCCTGCCTCAGCCTCCCTAGTAGCTGGGATTACAGGCATGCGCCACCATGTCTGGCTAATTTTTGTATGTTTAATAGAAACGGGGTTTCTCCATGTTGGTCAGACTGGTCTTGAACTCCTGACCTCAGGTGACCCGCCTGCCTCGGCCTTCCAAAGTGCTGGGATTACAGGCACGAGCCACCGCGCCCGGCCTAAGGTTAGATTTTTCTTAATCAATCTTATGATTTTTATTTCTTACCATTTAACATAATATACTATTGGCAGGCAGAGTGTGGAGGCTCATTTCCTGTAATCCTAGCACTTTGGGTAGCTGAGGCAAGAGAATCACTTGAGGCCAGGAGTTGGAGATCAGCCTGGGCAACATAGTGAGACTCCATCTCTACAAAAAATTTAAACAGTAGCCAGGCTTGGTGGTGCGTGCTTTTAGTCCTAGCTGCTCAGGAGGCAAAGGCAGAATGAGGCAGAAGGATCACTTGAGTCCAGGAGTTCAAGTTATAGTGAGCTATGATTGGTCCACTGCGCTTCAGCCTGGGCAACAAAATGAGACCCTAGTTCTTTAAAAAAACAAAAATACATATACACATACTCTATTGGAATTCTTTGCAAACTAAATATTTTTAAGTAGCTCAGTACTGTGTCAATGCCTGAGTAGCACATGCTATTTACAGAGAAGAGGACTTCTGTCTCCATTTGGAAATGACCTCTCTCCCATTACACAGAGGAGAGGCATCATCTGCCTGCAGTCAAATATACAAGACTTCCCTTCAATCTGAAGAGTAGAAAATGTCCCTTCTCCTTAGAGAAGGCAAACCCTTTTCCCAATAGCATCCTCTCCTGCCATCTCAGGGTCTCCTTTAAGTTTTTCTTTCTCTACTACGTCAGCTTTTTCCCCTCTATTCACACCTTTCTTTCAGCATTTGAATGTATTCTTCCTTCACTTTATGAACTGTTAGGTTTATTTTCCTGTCTTTTCGTTTTCTTCACAGCTAAACTTCTTGTATCTACTCTACATAGCTCTATTTTTTTACACTTCTTGCTATTTATTTCCCAGCCTACTGCAATGTCTTATTTCCAGCATTCCACTGAACTACTACCAAAACTACTTTTACCAAGATCACCAATGTCCTCTGTGTGTTAAATCATGCACTCTCAAAGCAGACAAAAACCGCTTCTTGTAAGGTGAAAAAAAAAATTATACTCTTTTTATGTATAAAGCACAAATACAGTACATAAACAGATAATCTGTGGTATTAAAATTGTATGGTGATATTAATTAGCTTCATTTAATTATTCCACATTTTATTTATAAATCGTAACATCTTGGACCCCTAAATATATACAACTATAACTTGTCAATTTACATTTAAAAAGAAAGAATAATAAAAAGTTTTGTGGATGAGGAATTTGATTGCTAAGGTGGTGGGAAGATGGAGTCTAAAAAGGCTCCTTAGCTGGCATTAAGGAAAATAAAGTTAAAAAAACACCCCTAAATCAACAGATATTTTCAATTTTTTTTTTTTTTTTTTTTTTTTTGAGATGGAGTCACACTCTATTGCCCAGGTTAGAGTGCAGTGGCACCATCTCAGCTCACTGCAACCTCTGCTTCCTGGGTTCAAGCGATTCTCCTGCCTCAGCCTCCTCAGCAGCTGGGATTACAGGCACCTGCCACCCCACCCAGCTAATTTTTTTGTATTTTTAGTAGGCAGGGGGTTTCACCATGTTTGTCAGGCTGGACTCAAACTCCCGAGCTCAGGAGATCCTCCTACCTTGGCCTCCCAAAGTGTTGGGATTACAGGTGTGAGCCACTGCGTCAAGCTGACATTTTCTTTTTCTTTTTTGTGGGGGATGGGGGAACAGAGTTTCGCTCTGTCGCCCAAGCTGGAGTGCAATGGCTCAATCTCGGCTCACTGCAACCTCTGCCTCCCGGATTCAAGTGATTCTCCTACCTTAGCCTCCTGAGTAGCTGGGATTACAGGCACACGCCTCCACACCCGGTTAATTTTTGTATTTTTAGTAGAGATGGGGTTTCACCATGTTGATCAGGCTGGTCTCAAACTTCTCATTTCATGATCTGTCTGCCTCAGCCTCCCAGCTGACATTTTCAATTCTTGTAGCTTCACCTCTTTGTGCCATTTAACAGTATTTACCACTCCATTCTTCTGGAAATACACTAAAATGCTATAGTTACTAGAAACCACCCCACTTTTTTTTCTTATGCGTCTTCAGTCACATCTTGATCATTCTTTAGGTCCACTTTTTTGACCCACCTGCTACTCAAATGGAGTTCCTGCCATAAGCTGTCTTCATACTATGCACATTCTTTCTTTTGTTTTAATTCTCCTTATGGTTAATTCCCATTAACAAAAAATCCTGATCACTTGCAATTCTGATTCCAATCTGGCTTCTCTAAAGCATCAGAAGTTGTGTGTGTGTGTGTGCGTGTGTGTGTGTGTGTGTGTGTACACACAGACACAAATATATATAATAGTTTTTTGAATATATTTATTTGGGTCAGATATATCCAGAATTGGTCAAATTATACAGGACCAGGCTAAATGACACATCTTTTCTCTCATCTCCACACTCTCCCCACAAGCCTAAATGGTTTTTAGCTCAAAGCCTAAATGTTTCTCTTTTCACTGTACCCCATCCCCATAATCAAGACTCTAGTCCAGGCTGTCACCACTCATCTCTCAACTGGTGTCACAGTGTTCAGTTACCTGTTACCCAGTTTCCACATGTAATTAGTATAATCTCTCTAAAAATATAAATTGGATTTCATGATTACCATTAAAAAAAATTATAAAATGACTTTACATTGCACTAAGAATAAAGTCCAAACTCCTTAACAAGTTTAGCATGCTTCATGAACCAATCAGTCTCTGCTTACCTCCTTCTCCAGTTTCATCTCCCCTCTTCTCTCCACCTTCCAGATTTGCTACATTTAAACTGGATTTCTTTGTCCTGTGTTTCTCTCACCTCTAAGCCTTATAGATTTCCATAGCACACTTTATTTCCTGTATCATCATAGGAATTACATGTTACTATATTAAGTTGCCTTCTCTGCAGACCTCTAAATGCTGTGAGTGTAGGTACTCTAATTTTGTTTGTTCTTGTATACCCAATGCCTCATAACTCTGTGTTGAATGAATATGTGATCAAGATATTGGCTGAGAATCAGAAGAGTAGATTCTTTTCTGGTCTCATTCTCTCATGTTCAGTGTAGGCCCATCTGTACCTCCATCCTGTTATATATGGAGGGAATACATTTTTGTTTTTAGACACTATCTTACAAGAATATTTTGACTATCGTAAATGTATTGTTTGTGAATTACCCAGGATGATTATAAAATGTTTAGTGAAAAGGATTTATGATGTATTTAAGCTGCAGTCAAAGCTCTGATGGGACTACCTCTGAGCACTGTTTCTTCTAGTGGCTTTAAAATAAGCTGGGAGAATTCTGTTTTATGACTCAAAAGCCACTAGGAACAAAAAGATGGTTGTGGTGATAATGAGTGTGTAGCTTTCCTAGAAAATTTATTAAAATAATAATTTTTTAAAAGTAACTGCAACTACTAAAAGGATGATAAATAAAGAAACAGGCTAATTTACACTGCAACATGTGGTATTATTTAATTGTTATATGCATTAGACCCTTGGTCATAGTATGGATAGAAGAAATATGCTCTCTTTTCCTATTATAGAAGGTTAA